ATTTCAGTTGGTGTGCAATGAATCTGAAATATATGAAAGTTTCATTTGTATCATTACATTATGGAAAATAATTACCTTTATCACAATATGCTAATTTTTTGAGAAGGACCTGTATATTAAATCTGTTTCTCAATCTAGTAAACATAACTTTAGAGGGGCTTCATTAGATTAAAAAAAATTTTGTTCAAGCAATTAAATTTGACCAATTTTAACTTAACAAATACATGTGATTTTAGTTCAAATGTAAATATTTTAAACTAAATGTATAAAAAATGGTCTTATTGGACATTTTTACTCTATCTAACAGACTTGACAGTTCTGTTTGGTAAAGCATGTATATAAAATACAGAGCTCTCTTACAATAACTTCTTACCTTTTGCAGCTTCACTTTTGCTGTTGATTTTGCAGTTCTTTCTTGTACAGCACTATAACATGAACTCTGAATACTCTCAGCCCCACTGTAGCAACTTCGTAGACCCTAGTACAGTGATTGCAACGGGAGGCAGCCAACCAATTGTCCCTCCTGCAGAAACACCCCACCGTCAGGTCCCACAGTGGAATACCCCATCAGTGGAACATCACCAGTCAGACAACAGGTATATGTGAATGTGGATGTGGTGAATAATGCAAGCATTGTCTGGAGTATTTGTCTTTTTTTATTATTTGAAATATATGCCTATTGATTTCTAGTGACCGAGCTGGTGAGGAATTCCTGAGATGCATTGCGGCCAACAAACCTCTCCCAGACTATCTCAAAGGCAATATGGCATACAACCTAGCTGATGCCTTAAAGTCTGCTAATGACCTGAAAGAAGCACTCAAGTCAGATCCTCACTTCCACAAGCATGTGGCCAAAAGCAAGAGCCATAGTCGAAGCCGAAGTCGTGGTAGATCTCGAGCCAAGAGCCGTGCACGGAGCAAAAGCCGGGCACGAAGCAAGAGCCGGGCACGGAGCAAGAGCCGGGCACGGAGCAAGAGCCGGGCACGGAGCCGAAGCAGAGGAAGGAGCAAAAGTCGTGCTTGTAGCAAGAGTCGAGCCAAAAGCAAAACCAGGGCTCGCAGTAGGAGTCGGAGCCGAAGCAAGAAGAGTCACAAACGAAGTAAAAGCAAAGTCAGAAGGTCTAGATCACAAAGCAGCAGCAGTGAAGAGAGCTATGCCAACGACAAAAAGAGAAGGAGGAGCCCCGGCCCCAGCAGCAACAGCATTGTTGGCATCAGCAGTAATTTGACAGAAAATTGTCTGTTAGAAGAACTGAAACTTGTCATGCAGAGCAAAGATTTAGAAGACCGGTTGCCCACTCTCAAAGATGCCTTCCTAAGTATTCAGGTAGAGATCTTCATTTTTTCCTCATTTTATTTATTTAGTTAGTTAGTTAAATAGTAGTTTTGATCAGGTGTTTTGTCTTATTCTTCCTCCAAACTCATGTCAAGGTGTGCACATGAATCAAGAAGGCTTTTCTTGTTACTTTTCACTAGGGCTGCAACAACGAATCGATAAAATCGATAAAAATCGATGATTAAAAGCGTTGGCAACGAATTTCGTTATCGTTTCGTTGTGTCGCGCAATTATGCGTCTTTCACGGCGCTGCGGAGCAGTGGCGGCTCCAGAAATTTTTTTCAGCAGGTGCTAAGGGGAGGCTAAGCATTTTACTGTGGGTGCTATGAAGGTTATTTTTCTTCCCTAGAGTTATCAACACAAACACAAGCACACGTGCACGCACACACACACACACACACACAGGTGCACTGAAAACTCTGACATCAGCAGTCACCAATACAGTGGATAGTGAATAATGTGGTACTCTGCAATTAATTTAAAGCATATACAAACGTGACACACTTGCCATATTTATAGATCTTAGTATGCAAACTGTTACAACAAATTCACATTGTTTCCCCAGATGTATCACATAAACAATTTCAGTCCACAATGCTGAATGCATTACAAAGTCAGAGAAGATTGAAATCATTCACTCACCATCAGAAGTCTTCATAACAGGACAATCCGCCTGTTATTGTGGTTGAGGGCAAAAGCATCAATAATCCTGTCACTGTCCAGGGTCCTGGTTCTTAAAGGATTGATAGCAAGAAGTGCCAGGTCACTTGTTCGACTGTCTCCGCTGCTGTTTCTTAGGTAGTTCTTCAAACGACGCAAACAAGAAAAACTGCGCTCACAGCTCACTGATGTTACTGGAAGAGTCAAAGATATGGATATCAGCTTATACAAGTCCAGGAATGCATCTTTGTAGGGCCGCATCACAGATAGGAAGTCTTGTGTGTTGTTGATTATAAGTCCCAGTTCTTCTTTCCTTTTCAGCAGCCGGCGAACCTGGTGGAGCTCAGCTGACAAGTTCTCCTCGTTAACTCCATGAAGACAGGCCATAGGCAGTATCCATTTTTTGTCAAGGAATGATGGGTGTTTGGGGTTTAGAGCTGGCAAACCTTTCAGTACTTCATTAGTTTCTGAAGAAAAACGCTGTTTCATTTCCATTAGCATCCTGTCTATAACAGAATAGAATGATTTTGTTTTTAGGTCATCCGTGCTGTCTGCACCTTTTCTTTCTATTGAGGCATCCACAATAAAGTGCTCTAGATGTTTAGCTGTTTGAGTCTGTCTTTTCTGCCGATGTACAGTCTCTGTTGCTATTCCTGTGTTGCTGCAAAGTTCTTCTGCTTCTTTTCTGAGTGTCTCCCATTTGTCATCTGTGCGTTTTTCTGTTAAAGCAGTTATTACAGAATGAGCCAGGTCATTTGCTGCTACTAGATCTAAATTAGGAGACTGTAGCTGATCAGACATGAATTTTGTTGTTCTGAAAATATCCTCAAAAATTACAAGATGCAGAACAAACTTCTTATCTATAAGTGCACTGAGAGCTTTAGCCTCCGTCCTCCTTTTAGCATTTTTCTGGTCAACAACATCGTGCAGCGTAGCTATAACAGCTGGGAGAGTTTTTTTGACAGCACGTATGGAATCATACTGGCACGCCCAGCGGGTGTCACTGAGTCTTTTAAGTTCTAGGCGCTGTACAGCTGACACAAGTTCTTCCTGCTTCTTCAAAAAAAGATCATGAACAACAGACCCAGAAAAAAACTTGTAAAGCATTTGCAATATCTCAAAAAAATCGGCTGCAGCATCAACATTATGTACACAGTCTACTAACACAAGATTCAGCCTGTGAGCATGGCAGTGAATGTACACAGCTTGCGGCACCTCTTTTCTCAACTTTTCTTGAACTCCATTGTTGCACCCGGACATAACAGCAGCACCGTCATAGCACTGTCCGACACAGCAATTTATATCAATATTACAACGACTGAGGGTCATTTTGATACAGTCAAAAAGTGAGTCTGCATCTAATCCTTCTGCTGGGGTGAAATGCAAAAATTCTTCCACCACCTTCTCTGAATCTGGCTGCAAATAACGAACAATAACAGATATTTGTTCTTTTTTGCTGATATCTTTACTTTCATCCACCAAAATAGCAAAGTGTTGAGCTTCTTTCACTTCATTGCTGATTTGTTTTCTTATCATTTCAGCCATAACATTAAATATTTCGTTCTGTATGTCATGATGAACATACTTAGCATTAGATGGATTAATTGTCAGCTTTTTTTGGACATTGGGATCAAATTTTCCAATCACATCAAGCATCTCACGAAAATTACCTTTGTTAGCTGAATCCTGTTTCTCACTGTGACTGCGCTGTACGATTCCCTGACAAGCTGTGTAGCGCAAACTTTCTACAACACCCATCATGTACCTCCGGTTCTCCTGAACCAATGCAGAATGTCCTTTGTCGAGCATGTTGGGGAGTTTTGATCCACTCGTTTGTTTAAACTTGAATTCACTCCACGCTTCCATTGCAAATTTGTGTCCGGCGCTTTCATGATGGCTCTTCAATGACGCTGCTGCTTTCCGCCAGTTGTTAAAGCCGAGCGCGGTAAATGCTGGCTCAAGATGGAACCTGTGTCCTGCTTTTAGAAAATGCCGACAAGCAAAACAAAACACGGCATCTTTACTCACGCTGTATTCTAACCACAAATATTGATCGAGCCAGCCTTTACTAAAACTTCTCTGTTGCACTCCAAACAAGCGTGATGGGTATTTTTGCAGAAGTGGTCGTCTTGGTCCATCTTGAGGACTTCTGCTTAGATCTTCTAGCTGTCCAGTGCTAACACTGTTAGCATTCTCAGCAGCAGTGGAAGGATAACTGCACAGTTTATCTTCTTCATCCAGATTAATATTTCTTTGTTGGTCGGACTCTGCTTCCAAAAATGCATCCTTCTCAAATTCCATCCGTGGAACTTTTGGTTGCAAAAAACGATCCATATTTGCGCAGCGTGTTCCTCTCAATTGCTTCCCGGAAGTAATAATACGCAAAGTTCAAATCAGGTTGAATTATTTTTTTTATTTTTATTTTTTACTGAAATTAGAATGGTTGATTCTTTTTATATATATTTGTCTTTAGAAGAAAATGCCACAACTACATATTTAAAATATTAAATTAGATGAAGAAAAAAATCTAAATATTTCCTGGGGGTGCTATGGAGGTGCTATAACTTTTCTAGGGGTAGCTATAGCGCCCCCTAGCGTCCCCCTGGCGCCGCCACTGCTGCGGAGCCATTTCGTTTTGTTCACGGGCAGTTCATTGTCAATGCTGACTGACTGAATAAAGTTTGGGGAGTCGGACAGGGGTAGTGAGTTAAGGCGCGGCAGAGGAACAGGTGTGTGAGGAGGGAGCTGCGTTTTTCAACAAACAAATCAGAAAACGTTACCAGAACATCCTTTGGAGGTTTGGCATAAACTGGTGTGTGAATGGATCGAAATGGCGCATCAGGTAGGAGATTCAGAGGATGACATGAATGTTGAGGAGTGGACACCAGTCAGAGGTGGGAGAGGGAAAGGTAAGGAAGGTGACAGAGGCAAGATGGAGGGCAGGGCAGTGTCTGAAAGCCAAGGAAATAAAAGAGGATTAGAAGCGAATAGTTCAGATGAGGATAGAGTGACTCGTAGGAAAATGGTGAGGGAGGAAGTCAAGATAATATTAAGATTCAACAAAGAGGATGAACAGGGAAACATTAGCCCTATTTTTCTATCAAAAGAAATAAAAAAGAAAATTGGAGAGGTAGAAATGGCTAAAATACTGAGAGATGGAAACCTAATGATAATTTGTAAAACAGAGGAGCAAAAAAATAAAGCATTAAAAATTGAAAACATTTGCAAAAAGACAATAACAGAAAGAATGGTGGTAGGAGAGAACAAAACTTTTAAGGGAGTGATTACAGGTATACCAACTGATGAGGATTTGGAAAAAATAAAACGAAGCATTGCAGGAGCACAGGTTACAAATATAAAAAGAATGTTAAAAACAGTCAATGGCGAAAGAGTGGCAAGCATGTCCGTCTTATTAGAGTTTGCAGATGATGTGTTACCGGAAAAAATCAAAATAGGATACATGAGCTTTCCAGTCAGGCCTTTTATTCCTCCTCCACTCCGCTGCTACAAGTGCCAGCGTTATGGACATGTGGCGGCGGTGTGTAGAGGGAAGCAGAGGTGTCCCAAGTGTGGAGAGGAACACAGATATGAAGAATGTAGGGAAGAAGCTCAAGAAAAGTGTTGCAACTGTGGGGGACAGCACAGAGTCAATTATGGCGGATGTGAGGTGAGGAAGAGGGCCGTACAAATCCAACAGATTAAGATAACCAAAAACATAAGCTATGCTGAAGCAGTCAAGAATGTGCAAGGACCAAAAACAAGAGAAACAGCTCAAATAAAGAATCAAACCCCACAACAAAATAATCAACCAGAAGAAAACATTTCAATGTCAACGGAGAAACTTATTCTATTTATGGCATACGTTATCAATTGTACTGATCAGGTTAAACACAAGACAGAGAAGATTAAAATAATTGTGAGAGGCGCTGAAAAATTCTTGGGATTTAAAGAGATGTCATGGGAAAATATAAACAAAAGACTGGAAACAGAAGGGAAGTCAGGAAACCTCAATGACAAAAACATATGATAATACTACAATGGAACGCACGAAGTTTATTAGCAAATGGGCAAGAATTTAAAGCATATATAGATGGATTTGATAATAAACCAGAAATCATATGCATACAAGAGACATGGTTAAAATCAAATTTGGAGTTCGTCATCAAAGGATATAATTGCATAAGAAGAGATAGACAGGAAGGAAATGGAGGAGGATGTGGAACATTCATAAAACAAGGAATTCAATATCAAATATTAAAAAAAGGAACAGAATTAGAATACATAATAGTAGAAATATGGGGAGATGAAGGAAAGTATAAGATCATAAATTT